TTGTATGTGCTGCTATTCCCAAGATAGTACTTGCCATATATTGATATCAGAGGATATCAGTAATCAGCAAAAATGGATAGTGCCCCAGCTGTGAGGTAGCTTACATTGCAGTGAGAGAGAAAGACATTCATCAAACAATCACATACATATTTGCATTGACAGCGCATTATATAGTGCTATGAGACTGAGTTCAGGCTTAAACTGAGACTAAATGAAGAGCAGGCATTAACTAAGAAAAGGAAGGAGGAAAGAGTGCACTGGGCAGAGAAAACAGCTTGTGCAAATCTGCGGCAGGCAAAAGCATGGCCTGTTCAAGAAGTTAAAGAAGCCCCATGTGGCTGAAACAGAGAGAGACGGAAGGAGGCTGATGACAGGACGAGGCCAAAGACCCAGATAGAAGCCAGACTGCACAGGGCCTCATAGATCATGTTAAAGATTTTGGCCTTGATCCTAAAAGCAGGATGGAGGTGGGGTGATTGGATTGGCAATTTGAAAGGGTCGCTGTGGCTGCAGTGTGGTAAATAGTTTTAGGGGAGCTAAGGGATGTGTGCAAGGGCATTTAGGAAACCATAGGAATAGACAAGAGATGTTAGTAGATTGTTTTAGGATGACAGCAGTAGATGGACTAGTGTATACACATTAAGGAAATATTTAGTAGGTGAAATAAAGAGGATATGGTGATGAGCTGGATGTGGGAGGTGGGGAAGAGGGTAGAGTCAAGAATGCCTCAGGTTTCTAGCCTTTGGATCTGGCATATGGATGGCAGTGCCATACCGTTCACAGAGCTGGAGAGCATTGAAAGAGCACCACTTGCTCACAAATCAGGCAGTTTAAATTTTATTGTAAATCAGAACTAAAAATTATTGAACTGGGTGCATTTTTGATATCTGCATGAAACAGACTAGAAAAAGCAAAATGCTATTAACTTGTGGTGGTTTTGTAGCATTCCATGTATTGCATTCTATCTAACCATATCCACTACTCAAGTCATAATGTATTTCTTTCTTAATACAGTTTTCTTAATTTCAATATATTATAATGCAGTGATTCTATTTAGCTATCCCAACTTGTCGCTTTTGTAAACAAACTCATAAAAATGTACTGGTTGATGGAAAGAAGAGAGAGATCAAAGATAAAGACCAAGCAGGTCTTTATCTCAACTAGTGTACCTACAGTGGAGTGCTGGTGCTGGCTCCTATCAGACCTTAAGAGCCAATTGCTAAACTTTCAGGAACCTTGCCAGCTGGTTATAAGTAGCTTGAAATTGGCCACAATGGGAGTACTAGCGCTACAGAAATTGGAAAACACCACAGAATTGGTAAATGGTACAAATCAGAGATCCACCATCCCTCCCGGCCCACCCCTACAAAGCCTATTATGAAACATTAACCAGCACACCCCTGTTTGTACCTTTAAGAACTGTGGTGTTTGGGGGGGGTATCCTGGATGCAGAAAGTACTGTAATGAGATTGACTGTAATCTCACTGATCTAAGAATGCTGCCTCTTTTCTTTTCCATGTTATTAAGTGTCTTTCCTTTAGGATTGTTTGAACCCTCATCTGCTTCATTGCTGGACATCTTTGATGTTTCCACAGAACTTCATTTGTGAAGATTTGCCACTTTCAGGCGTTCTTCTAGTGATTAGACTTTTTTCTCTCCTTTAGATTGCCCAGATTAAGAAGTGCTGCAGAAAAGTGGCAAAATTTTAGTAATTGTTGAATCTGGTTAATAGGTATATAGGAGTTCATTGTACTGTTTTCTCTAATTTTGTGTGTGCTTGGAAATTTTTCATATTGAAAAAAAAAAGCAGCAGGCTGCAGCAGCCACAGCGTGCCCGGAGCAGTCCTCGCCGGGACCTCCACTTCCAGCCTCCATCCCACCCGCTGTTCCCGGAGCTGAGACGTGATTGTTGCTGCCTCCCCATCTGGCCTCTAGGAGTTAACTGATTCCCAATTTTGACTTAAATGTTGCAACACCTACTTCCCCTGAAAAACTCACGAGCAGTTTGTACAAGAATTGAAAGTAAATCTTCAGAGAGAACCGTATCAGATTAGGGTACTTTCTTTGTACCAAAACCACAAAAATAATGAAAAAAAAGTCTTAAAAAGCTTCAGTAACAACAGAAAACCTCAAGGTACAATGAGTGTGTAGATTAAAAGAAATTGGAAAGAGTAAAAAAGGAAAAAATCTTTAATAAAATATTGAAAAAAGGGTCCAGAAATGACAGTAGCAATGCTAGACGCTGAAGCAGTAGAGAGGGTTGAGGGACTAGAAGAATTAGAAACTAAATCAGGGTCTCTCAAGTTCCGTCCTCAGGAAAAGAAAAGCTTAGTCTCGAGGAAGAGCGAGATTGTGTTTTTCTTTTTTAATGTAGTATATTATCATGGAACACATAAATGTAGCAGAGCACTTCAGTGAAGGAAAAATAATTTAGAAATTAAAATCCAAAAAAAAGGAAAGGTTAACAAGTAAATTATAATTCAAGAGGATACTATCCGTATCAAAGAGGAATCATATGAATCCGTTTTGTGGATTAGAAAACTGAAGCTCAGGAGAGTGAGGTAATTTAGTCAAGTCACTAAGTTAAAGTGTTGGAGCCTGGATCTGAACTCCCTAGATATCTCTGCAGCATTTTATTTTTCCCACGGTTTTTTTTTTAATAGAAATAAAATCAAAAAGTAATAAAAAATTATAAATATAGCTCAAATAATTCTGGCTTTAACTTAAAATATAGACTAATAATGACACGCCCTTGAGTCTCATTTTTCCACTACTTCATCACTGACACTCTGCTCTACATAAGTTACTATTATGTGAGAAAAGACCACCTTAAAAGTCATGTTGAAAATCATTTTGTCTAACTATTGCAAATAAAAATTAGATTCTTTTCACTGTCTTCCCTTAAATATGTTTTGAACTGTATATGTAGAATAGAAAATAAGGCATTTTTTAAGTGAAAAGATATTTTTAGTTATTCAATGATTGATGACTGAAATGATCAAGCTTTGGTTTCCACTAAAGGAATCTAAGTTTGCCTCATGCGTTTGAAGAGTGCCTCAGAACTCCCTCAAATTCATTGGCTCTTTTTGGCAGGTGATTTTTGTCTTTTTAAGCTAATTAACTTTCCTGTGGCCTAGACAGCATATTTCATGGTATTTGATACTTACTTTTTAATGAAACCCTATACCTAAAGGCTTTGTTTTCACATATGAGTAATTTTCCATCTTGCACCTCCTACGAGCAAGTAGATGTTCATAAGTACTGATTTGAATCATGACTCCTAAAAGAAATTAGGTTTAGTAAATTATAATTACACCTATGTCACCTACATGACATGTTTGTGTGTGTGTGTGTGATTGTATTAGAGCCTAGTGAGAAGAGAGAAACTATACCAATTATTTTAACAAAGATAATTTAATATAATGAATTGTTAAGTAGGCATTGAAGAATAGGAAAGGCAGAAAGACAATGCTAAGGCTGTGATTTTTCAAAAGATCGTCACCAGACCAGCATCCATAGCATCACCAGGAAACTTGTCAGAAATGCAAATTGTCAGACTCCAAGGTCCCCACCCCCCACCCCCAGTTTACTCAGTGGGAAACTCTTGTGGTGGGCCCAGCAATCTGTGCCTTAACAAGCCCTCCAGGGGATTCTAACTTATGCTAAAGTTTAAAAACCACAGCACTAAAGTAGCAAAAGTATTGCTGTTAGCAACAGCCAGAAGCAGCCACCACTCGTAGGCCTGGCGCAGCCTAGAAAAGAGGTGGAATTACTAAAACTGAGATTAGGGAAAGGTCCCATGGAGCTGAAAGACTTCCAAGAACCCATCACTGCTCTCCTGGGGGTGGTGTCTCTGAGCTCAAAGAAGGGATGCCATAGACCTGGGAGCCAGGTATGTGAGGAGGAGGCCCCCATGAGTTGGATCTGGTGTCTCAAGAAGGCACATTGAGATGGGTTCTGCAAGTATTGGGAAGCCCCCAAATTGAAATCGGTGGCTGCTGCTGGAAGGAACTGTTACTGCCAGAGTGAAGAACTGTTGCAAGAGTGAGACTGACAGGATCAAGAAACCATCAGAAGCAAACAAGAAAGAGCAAGTCCCTTCTTCCTTCTCCATCTGTGCGATGAGCCTAACAGGGAGCCAGAAATGTTTGCAGAATTCCAAAGGGTCAGTTTGAAGCTGAGGGATAGTAGCTGAATAACTGGCATGAAGGCCTTAATTGTAATAAGACTGAGAGGCAATATAATAGTAGATACTTTTTGGTAAGTATAATTGAGTACACATGACATCTTCTGGGGAGCTGACTTCTAGGTGGACTTTTGAGCTTATTGTACAAAATTATTCCTATTTGGAAACTATGTGTTTCTCCTGATGAGATTAATAAGAAGCATTTAGGACATTTGTGGAATTTGGACAGGAAACTATGCAGAGGCCAACACTGAAGTGTCCTTAGCTGGGGCTAAGATTGAAAGGTCACAGCAGTAATGGCTGAGGATTGCTTAATAGTAGCAGCAAGACATGCTCCAGTCAGTCGAGGCTAGGTTCCCTAAAGTCTCAGTGTCAAACGAATGGACTACAAAGAAGCTTATTTACCAGAACAGAGCAATCTGGGTACTGCCTCAAAGTAGGAGGTTGGTAGAAAATGGTTCTTCTGAAATACTTGATTTTTTAAGGAGCTGTCTTTGTGCAATTCCAGGAAACTAGAAAATGAATGGAAATGAATCAGTTCCTTCCTTCATCTTGTAAATCACTGTTCTGGTAGTTGAGGGTCCAGTCAGTGTTGATTCCACAGAAATCAATAAATCAGTGCTTTCCATATTCCTGAAAGGTGGGCAAAGGCATAGTTGTTTTATTGTCAAGCAAAAGGAACATTCTCAGGTATTGGAAAAATGTCAGAAATATGCCGAGTGCTTTGGCAGATGAAGAAGAACTATGAAGTTGTCATTATTTTTAAAGACCTTCACCTCTTTCTCATTTTATGTTTGTTTTGTCTTTTTTAAAGGATATTGAAGAATCACAAAACCACACTGGCGAGCCTGTTGGAGACGACTACAAAAAGATGGGAACACTTTTCGGTGAACTGAACAAAAGCCTCCTCAACATGGGCTTCACAAGGATGTATTTTGGAGAACGAATTGTGGAACCGGTGATCGTCATCTTCTTTTGGCTCATGCTGTGGTTCCTTGGACTACAAGCCCTTGGACTAGTTGCTGTTCTTTGCCTTGTCATTATTTACGTGCAACAGTAAAGTACGGTCAAATGAGCTGCTGTCTGACATTTGGTAGCCATATGTGTAATTGGTGAAATTATATATTTCACTACATGAAAGTCGAGAAGTTTGCTTTGTGTCAAATTGTGTGCTGTTTCGTAATTAAATTTATGAGTGGATGTTGTTTAGAATTAAACTCAACTCTTGATTATAACAGGGTTGAATATATATTTTGTAGCTTATTCAAAACTCATGTTTTATTACTGCAATCTCTGCCCACTTATAAACACCCTGTTCCCATGCCAAAATTTAAATAACACCACCAAAAAGTGAGCAGGGAAAATGACAGGATATGGAATTCAAATTGGGCAATAAAGGTCTTGTGAAGAGCTCCAATAAAACATTTTAGGAGAAAGAAGATGAAACAAGGAACTAAAAATAAGTTTTAATTGGAGAATTGCTCCCCACCCACACCCACCAAATAACCCCATATTATTTAGGAAATAATTTGGATTTCTATTGTCCCTGCTCAGCTCAAACCAATGTAAATGATAATTACTATACACTACCTTAATATTTTGATGAAAACCAGTAATGCTAGCACATTTTCTAAAGATTGAAAAGAATATATTTATTATTGCTGAGGAAACTTCCCGAGTTAAATGTATCTTTTTTATAATGTAACACTTGGGCCTGGAATCATTTCAGTATATCATTTGAAGTTTTAGACAATTTTGGTGCTAATTACTCCTTGTGAATTTTTTAGGTCTCATAAGCCAGGTCCATAGTTGGCTGCACCCCATGGTAATGCTGTATTTTCTTGTATCTAACAAATTGCATATTTTTTCCTAGAGAGACATTTTCAGTGTATTTTTTTCCAGAAATTTACATTTTATAGTTCTTGTATAGCATTATTATAAGATTTTAAAAATCTATTTCCTATCTTGGCATGGATTTCTGCCCCCCCAAATTGATTTCTATTACGGCTGATTACTTTACTATTCTTTTAAGGAAAAAAATCAGCTCATTTTCTTTAGTATCTGCATTGGAAAGTACAGTATTACAGTATAAAACCAAATGCTTAAGTTTGGAACTTAACAGCCAATTGTAATAATAGTCCTCTGAGGCAAAAGCCAACTCAGTAATTGGCCAGCCATGTTATTCATGTTATAATGTGAAAATGGAAAATGGCTTAGTGATATATTGGATTTTGTTAGAGAGCCTAATATCTTTACACTTTTGTCTCAAAGACTTTCTATATAGATAAAGAAGAGGTAGTTAAAATAATTATCCAGAAATGCAAGTTAAATAAGAGGAAAATGGGATAATGGCTCATTTTTATCTTTGGCAGGGCAATAACTAAAGCGTGTAAAGTGTATACTATTTCACCTTGTAAAGTTTTTACCCAATCCTGTTTTAAAATTTATTTTGTAAGTTCTCAGTGTCTTCCATTCTGAAGCAGAAAATTGATGAAAAATGTTCAACTTAGATTTCTAAAGTCAAATAATCTGAAACAAAAATACCATTCACAGGGCACTGAAAAGTATTGTGCATTTGTATAAATATGAACCCTTGAAAGTTTGACTTTAAAAAAAAAGACTTTGTACTATATCGTGTTTTTATTGGGTTGGCAATATTTTTATAGTAACCTTTATGAACTCAGCACAAGTGCAAGTTATTTGAAAAGGTGTCTTCATTTGTGCACAGCATAATTTTGAGGTTTTTAATAGAAGCCATGAGATTTTGTATATCTGCATTAAATATGAAAAAGTTCATTCTTTTCTAATGCTATCAGGAATTTTAATTTCCCTTTGGAATGTAAAAAAGATACAGTGCACATAATAACAATTCTGGTTCCACCAGTGCATAATGTTGAAAATACTTTAAAAGCAAGTTTTAATAGTAATTATTTAGAATACTGTCACTACTATGCATCTGCACACTGCTGTTTATAGGGTATAAATTAAATTATATAAAGAAATAAGATATTTTGCTGCTACTTTTTTCTGCATATATTGTTGGTTAGAGCGGTTATACATCAGATTGTTTGCTTGATAGGGAAAAAATAAACTTTGCTTATTTGATGGAAATAAGATATTTTCTTTTATGAAATATATTAGAATCCAGATTATACTGATATCTTGAAGTAAAAAGAAACTGATCATTTCTTTGATTCATAATAAAAGGAATTAGATTGAAAATGATTCTCAACCATTTCAATCTCAGATACAAGCCAGTTTTAGAAACTGTTATTGCTATGAATAGAGTTACAAAATAGAACTTACAAAAATAAGTTATTAATAATTAATTTATGCATCACTCATACCATCAGTCCTCAATTCAAAGGAAGGTCAAGATCTATGAAGAAACTGACAATAGACAAATAAATCAATTTTCCTTGAAGAGAAAATTCAGTATTTTGTAGAATTCAGTCCTGTCACATCTTAAGCTGTCACATACAAGGTATTTGCCCATTCTCGGCCACCAGACAGATCATTCTTGGTTCAGTAGTGTGCTGAAGCCAGCTTGCACTGGCTTGCAAGAGCCAATTGTGTACATTTTTTCCCTACTCTGCCTTCAGTGGCATCAAGTTGGTAGTTTGAAACTGTCTGGGGGGGGGGGGTATTTACACCATAAAAACTGGCAAACATGACAGATCAGGGCTCTTTTTCCTGGTGAGCCAGTAGTTAAACATGTATCAGCACACCACTATTAGCCACTCTAGAGGCCACATTCCCATTTCTACTCCTGTAGATATAAAAATCCCCATTGACCCATCCAAGACTGTATTTGGATATTTTCCCATGTGGGAATTATGGACCATGGTTGTCTTCTGACTGATGTATCTCTATTTAATGACGTTTTGATCAGAGAAAATCTTTCTGTGCTGTCACTGAGCTGCAAATCCATTAAAGACTATCCAGACAATCAGGAAATAAGAAACAGTTACAGAACTGAGGGAGGGAAAATTACAGCCTAAGTAAAGGTCTGTGGTAAAGTAGAAAGCCCAGAATAGTCAAAGCTAGGTATTAAGCAATCAAGGGCTGTTCGTTTGGTTTGTAGATTACATTTTAACAGTTATTTTATAAATGCTTATTGATTTCAGTTTATTTAAAATGTTTTCATTGCCGATTCATGGCTTCCCAAGGAGCAAGAAGAGAAATCAAACAAGACTTTCATACCTGTTAGTACTTCTAGTAACAGACTGGACCAAGGAGAATATAAACTAGTGTACAAATTATGGCTTCAGGATTATTTATTGGTGGACTGAGGGTATTTTGTAACTTCTTTTTCTCTGCCCAACCCTTAATTTTTGGTGTCCCTTGGGCTTCCTTCCAACAGCCTGTTCTTTTCATCACTCTACACATCGCCTTAGACAATGTCACCACTCCCATGGCTTCAGTTACCATTTCAGACTAACAACTCTCCAGTTCATAGCGCTGTACAGCATATCAGATCCCTTCAGTCAATTGCTTGCCCAACGTTTGTACTTGCTTGTCCCTTAGTACCTCCAATTCAGTGTGTCCAGAAAAGGAACTTGGCATCCTTCTCCCAAACCTTTTCTTCTTCCTGTGTTTCCAGTCTCAGCAAATGACAAAATTCTCTCCTACACTGCCCACATATAACAATCACCAAGTCTTATCTATTTTAAACTTCTACTTCCTGAAAATGTCTTTAACCTTACCACTTCTTGCCATTCTCAGTATCACTAATCTAGTCCATACCACCATCCTCTCGCTTGGATTGCTAGCTCAGAATTCTAATTGGTCTCCCTGCCTTCATTTTTCTACTTTATACTCAGAATAATCTTTCTGAAACATGACTGATCGCCTTGGCCTAAATCTTTTCAGTGGCTCCCTGTTACCATTATGATCAAGTCCTTACTCCTTAGTATGTTTTACAAGGCCCTTCATGAACAGGTTCTTGCCTACCTCATCTCCCTATACTACCACCCTCCCTTTCCAAGACTCAGCTATACTGAATTTGTTCTCAGTTCCTTGAGAGACACATGCTTTCTCTCTTCCAGAGCTCTGTACCTGCTTTACCTTCTTTCTTTAACTCCTCCCCGCCAAACTGACCAACACATTTACAGCTTTCAAGCCTCCACTTAGACATTGTGTGCCCCAGGAAAATTTCTCTGACTCTTTTAAATCCAGTTTTCGTACTTCATGTGCTTTCAGAGAGCCCTGGACTTCCCCTGTCAGCACTTGTCATGCTCGATTGTAATAGCTTATGTGTCAGCTTCTTCCATTAGACAATAGGCTTCACAAAGGCAGAAAACATGTCTATCTTGTTCATAATTGCATCGCCTACCACAGTGCTTGCTCACAGCACATAATATGTGCTCAAAATATTTGTCAAGTGAATGAATCAACTTCATTTATTCATGCTCTTCCTATAGTGATTAACCAAGAAGATCTAGAGTTGGTTGTACTTTAGAGTTCTTTCACCCCAAAAATATACTCACTGTGCATGAAGACAGTGGATTGATATGCATGTTGTCATTTGTAAGTTTCTTCACTTTTGATGGAAGAATATTGCTGTTATTTGCATACATATGCAGGATTGCTACTACACCCTCACATTTTTTAAGAGAAAATGTATTTTCAGTGTTGTGCTTGGTGGAATCACTATTTCTCCAGAAAGGATATTTTGGAATGCATATGATCACGGAAGCTACCTAAATTTCATATTTTTCCAGTGTTTTTCAGTAGACCTTTATCTACTAAATTTTAATGTTTTAAAAAACTCAAAAGTTGTCAGCAGGAATTCTCAAGTATATCAGCTTGGTATTTTAGGCTCCAGAATAAATTCCCTCCTAGAATGTCCTCATAGCCCAGATCATGTATGTCAATAACATGTGTATAAAGTTCTATGTTATTCTTTCTAATAAATAATATTCTTTCACAACCCTGCATTCTGAGTCTCTCCTCTGACTCCCTGTATCATGTTCTACTTATCAGTTAATCGCTGCTATATCAAGTTCGGAAATTGCCAAAGAAACAACACATCTGAGAGTGAGCAGAGCTTGTATATTTTCCACGTTGCTGTTGCTGGAGCAACCTGCCCTGATGGTCTGGTGGATAAGATCTGATGCTGTCACCGCCCTGGCATGGGCTGTTTCCCAGTGAGGGAACCACACTACCTGTCTGTCGGTTGTCATACTGTGACGGCTGCATCTTGCTGTGATGCTGAAAGCTATGGCACCAGGATTTCAAATGCCAGCAGGGTCACACATGGTGGACAGGTTTCAGTGGAGCTTCCAGACTAGCCAGAGTAGGAAGAAAGACCTGGCCACCCACTTCCAAAAAGATTGGCCATGAAAACCCTAAGACTAGCAGTGGAGCATTGTCTGATATAGTGCAGGAAGGTGAGAGAATGGCGTAAAAAGACCGGGCAGGGTTCCACTCTACTGTACACAGGGTCACCAGGAGTCTGAATCAGGTGGAATGCACTAAAACAATTGCCAGAGCAGAAAGCCAAGGCCTGATGTATGTGTGGCTTCCTAGGCAATAGAGTTGTAGGAAACTCCAGATCAAGATCCACCTCTGCATCCAAGCTGTCTTTTTTCTTTCTGTTGCCTTGACTATTGTGAAGTTAGAATTATTGAATGCACTCTGCAGGAGCCTGCTAAGATCCAGAACTTAGTCACTTATATGCTTATTAAATTTGAGTTATCTTTTCAACAGTTAAACTTTTATCATTTCATGTTTCTGCAACTTAATTAGTTGGGAATTTTCTCGCTAGTTTGCCAAAGCACCGCAGAATACAGTGACTTTTATTATAAGACCATGGACCTTTTTTGTTATTGGTTTATTCCTGTACTACAAAAGGCTAGTTGATAATATATTTTTTAATGTGAGATTTTTTTTAAACATAAAAATGAGAATTCTACACTATACTTATTAATACTATAGCTGGTTTAAGACAAAATCTAAGAATTATTTTTCAGGGTGGGGGTAAATGGGATATGTAAAAACTCTATCAATATTTGAGAATATGTGCCATCTACTGAATGCCCCCTCTGGTCTGTCATGATTGCTTCTGCTATGTATTTTCCTGGTTTTACATATGTAATATCAAAAATATTCATGATTTTATTATTAATATATTTTAAGCTTTAAAAGGCACAAGAGTATGTGTGTAAATGCAACATACAAATAAAGGCTGAGAAGAAGCAATTACAAGAGGAAAACACACTCCTTAGATGGTGGTTTGGAAAGATTAATTTAAATAAATTGGTCTTGCACAAAACCATAATGATAATTTTTCCTATAAGGTAAAGCATTTGTTTGTTAGACCAGTGGCTTTCAAAGGTTTTTGTTTAGTTTGCTCTAAGTGAAATCCTACATGAATATCTGATATATTGAGACGATAAAAGTGGAGCTGCTGTAATTGATTTTGCTGTCTGTCGAGTTCCCTGGGAGCAGACTCAGAAGAAATTAGCATGCAGGAAGTTTCTTAGGGAGCGCTCTGGGAGCAGCACCTGTGAAGGACAGAAAAAGAGCAGCATTCGGCAGAGAATTATGCAATACAGTCACAGCAAGGCCTCCGCGACTCTACGGGGTGCTCTCAAACAGGGTGGGCCTTAAGGATGGACCTATGCTGGGACAAGGGAGCTCTCTTCAGCCAAAAGCAATTCCCAGAGAAGGCTGACAGCTGGGGGCCGTCATCTAGCAGCACCCCCAGCAGTGGTCAGAGTAAACCCTTGGGTTCTGAAGGGAGGATCTGAGCAGCACGATGCAGCATCCACTATAGACCCTATTCTTTTCTCACCCCACCCTCCTTGATACCTGAGTCACTTCCAAAAACCTCACTCTTTGGAGTACATTGTGAAAAGGACTAAATAATAAATTCATTGGTCAAGATGGATAAAAAAAATTAGGGGTATAGCCTTTAGTCTGTTGTGTTGCCTGTTTCTATTATGAGATTCAGGTCTTCAATTGTGATAAAGCTTTAGTTGACTGAACAGTTTGCCCAGGGTTCAAAAAAGGCTTGAGGGTATTAGGAACAGGTGAACAAACGATTGACAGAAAAGCCCATGACTTACAACTAGGAGTAGGAATCCATGAGATTGGGTATACGTAACCTACTCAGGTCAACATTTAAGGCAGTAAGTCCCTCAGGGCCTCACAAGGCATCAGGACAAACCATCATCCGGGCACGTCTTGGGAGCTGGGCAGGTTCAAGCCCAGATGTCGGTGAGTCTGCTTTGTGCTCTCTGGCCCCTTTCCCAAGTTCCAAGCAGTTTTAATCCCCAAACTTTTGGAGCATATTTAAAATAAGATTTTTAATGGCAGAGCAGAACTCACTTGTAAGGAAACCATCTCCCCCTGCCCTCAACACCCTATTGCAATGGAACTGGCCCTAATCATGACTTTCCCGTTTATTTTTAGTACAAAAGATCTCAGCAGCCAGATTTGGTAATTCAGTAGACACTTGAAAAGAGCTTTCTCCAGTCTGGCTCAGAATATTTTGGGGACCTCTAAGAGTAATTTTAGCTGCTATTTTTATCCCTGGAATCTTAGGAGTGGGCAGGATCAAGCAAGACAGTGGCCCCAAGCCAATTACACATTAAAACTATAAGCAGTGTTTAGGCATGACTTCCCCCTTTGGTTATAGGAAAATATTAGAACAATGTACAAACTTCAAATAGAAGGATGTCTTTATGTCAGACCTGAATGTATGACTTGGTTTGCCATTGCGTAACTACAATTTCTATAAGTCATACCCACATCCCTTTAAACTCTGAGACCCTCATCTGTAACACGGGGTAATTGTTATGACTGAATAAATTATTGCATGTCTTATTGTAGTGTCTCACACATAGCAAGCTTTTGATAAATGCTAGTCATCATTATTAAATATAAACATTCACACATAAGAGAGGACATTCTTCACTATCCACGGAAAGTTCATATGTTGAGAGACATAAAAGGCCTGATTATTTTATTGTTGCCAAAAGATAGATAAATACAAGGGAATTCTATTACAGTACTGTGCTCCCAATTCCTCATGACTGAAATCTTTGTGAGTTCTCTTATTAACTACAACTGTTAGTGCTTCATGAATCAAAATGATTCTTATCCATAAAGATAAGGAATGAAGAACCTAAGGAGTTGATGAACAGAAATGAAATGTGCTCTGGACAGCCACACCTTCTCTGATGAAAAGCTGTTTTCTTTAAACACCTACTTACCACAATGCCGTGCATTTTCTGTTGCTCCCTTGCCTCAGTAAACTTAGGTGCAGAATCATACCAATAAATACGCAATTCTGCTATGGATTTGAACAAGTGACAAAATGAAATCAATTCTGAAAATCCTTTTCTAAGTTTTACTCCATTGCATAGGCCAAGAGTATTATGTTATATTCATAGAATCATAAACAGTATCTTGCTTTGATCCACAGTGAAATTTCAGACTAATCTGTTGGTCCAAGTTCTGTTATGTTTTCAATATGCACTAAAAACGATTCACCAAGATAAATATAATTGTACACTAGTACTCTCACATAAAACATCCAGCGCATGCCAATACACATGGATACAGTCTGGATACAGGGAGTCAGTGTACGCTAGCAGAGGTTATTACTATGTAGTCTTTAAAAGAGTATTATTAATATGTTCATGAAGTCTTATCTTTTTAGTCTGTGAAAACATGCTAAAAGTATATTATGATCTTAATTAACCTTTATTTTAGCAAATCTTCAATTACATTGTTCCATCCTGGGTTCCTCTTTCATATTTCCTTTTCTTTCAAGTAATTCTCCCATCCGAGAAGTGAAAGTTTCTCAAATCAGATGTTTACAGATACGAATGTTTTATAATAAGCTGTGGCATATCTTTAGTGCCATCTCCTAGCGCGTTTCAAAACTGGTTCTCCCACATTTTCCTTAACTGTCAGTTTATGCTTTCAGATATTTTTGTAAGATGCTCAGATAGAGCTGATGTTGGCCAAATACAGCTCTCCTCAGGCATTTCTCGCCTTTTCAAGCTGTAAGGAACATTTCTTAGAGCTCCACGCCTGGCTAGTGATCGTCACCCTCGCTCCCGTCTGAAATGGAAATATCCCTGCCCCTCCCTCCCTCACCATATCACCGACACCCAAGTCGAAGACACAGGCTTTTTTCCACTCACCTGGCTTGCAAAAGCCCTGGGCTAACAAAGAAGACATTATTTTCGTAGCACAGAAAGATTTAGACACAAAAAGACCTGAACGTTAAGACTCGTTTTAAATTCCAGGCGCTTCACTGATAACCGTTTCCGTACTGGGGCTGGGTGCTGCTGTGCCGTCTCTGCCACAGCACGTAGGACCGGCTGCTGCCGAAACGCCCTCTTTCCCAGAGGAGTCACTCTCTTCATCAACAACTTCAGGCATGTTTATACCAGGAAAACGGTACGAGGGAGTCCTTAAAGTCTGTCCAAACTTCATATTGCATATCTCTGTTGCCATCTAGTCGAAGAGCAAGATTGCAGCTCCACCCACCTGCCTCTTCTGCTCTCCTAGTGTTTGCTGCCCTTCCAGTGCTCCGCAGCGCTTTGTTCCCGGTAGAACTGTGTCCTTCAATGCGATCTAACCTTCTGAGGAGGCCTGGAGAACAGACCATGATTTTCCTAGTAGGTTCGGCACATAGAACCACAGCAAAACTGGAATGAAACTTGCTGCGAGATGGCCTCTGCTGCCAACTTCGTTCTTTAAATACAGAGCAAGGGGAGGGCCGTCCGGTGGCCCAGCGGTTAAGTGCACACGTTCTGCTTCTGCGCCTGGGGTTCCCCAGTTCGGATCCCTGGGGTTCATTGGTTTGGATCCCAACTGCGGACATAGCACCGCTTGACAAGCCATGCTGTGGCAGGTGTCCCACATATAAAGTAGAGGAAGATGGGCACGGATGTTAGCTCAGGGCCAGTCTTCCTCAGCAAAAAGAGGAGGGTTGGCAGCAGTTAGCTCAGTGCTAAACTTCCTTAAAAAAAAATACAGAGCTAGGAACATCAGTACGAACTCATGTTTAGCTTAATATAAACACAGATAGGTAAATATAGGAATAAGTAGATATGTGTTATACAAAGGGTTAGGATTGAAGGAGATTAGGACATGCCACCCCAAAATATGCCGCTTTGGAACACTGATTATTTTGAGCTGAAGGCACCTGAAAAACAGTGAATGCAGGGAGAGGCTGTCTCTGGACTCCCCTTATCTGCCTAAAGACAGGTCCTCCAAGAGGAACTCAATCATCATCAACCCCCTCCCCGGGAGTCTCATCAACCAGGGAAGAGATGAGACTAGAAGTCGACACCACAGCCAGACAAACTGTCACAAACCATCGTACCTCCCATCTAGTCTTCTAAGAGCCCATCATCTTTCCTAAAAATCAGGTACGGTCCCCTCAATTGCCTACAGCCCCACTCCCCTTCCCCATTCTAATGGTATAGAAGTTCTCAAATCTTACTGATTTGGGGGAATATTCACTTTTTTTTTTCCTGTGATGCTCCTGTGCATGTAATATTGAAGATTAATAAATTTGTATAATTTGTTCCTGTTAATCTGCCTGTTGTCAATTTATTTCACAGGCCCAGCTATCGAATCTAGGAGGGTGAAGGGAAAGTCTTTCCTCCACTCCAGCATACACTCATATATTTCCAAGCTGAGAGCACCCACAAGTAAAAACACCCCAGAAGTCACCAGCATACCAGCACCAGGCCTTTGTTTCTGACACCATCCTCTAAAAACAGGAGCCCAGGCTCTCGGGAGAAGTGGCCGATTCTAGGGCTGGGCAGGGAATAGACTAGATGAGCCTGGGATATCCTGCAGTGCCAGAAAGTAAGGAAGTGCTGAAATATCACTCACACTCACACACACAGATGGGGTATAGGAGCCAAGTGAAAGAGCTCCCCATGACCAAAGCTGGGATAATTGGAGCAAGAAAATATGTAAAGTAGTATTGGATTGTAACCCAAAGTATAAAATAAATATCCCTGAGTTCTAATATAAGTAAATGATCAAATTAATAAATTAAGGGGGGAGAATAGACAAATCTCCCATACAGAAGAATTCCAAATAACATGTAGATACTGCTCTCTCCAAAAGGTGGAGCATAACTCCCCACCCCTTAAACTCGGGATTTACTTTCCAAAGAGCATAGTAGGGGGTAACTGTATAGTGGAGAAGCCTGACAAACTCCACCTCAGCCAGGTCATCAAGGTTAATATCATGCGTGATAAGTCATGCTGACAGCACTGCCCCTTGACAGGATATGGTGAGAATGTTACTTTCCATCTGTGGTCTTCCTCTCCAGAAACCATAACTCCAGGCTAATCATGGGAAAAAACAGCTGAAAAACCCAAATTGAGAATTATTCTACAAAACATCTGACTGGTACTTCCCAAAACTGTCAAGGTCATCAAAATCAAGGAAAGTCTGAGAAACTGTCCCAGACAAGTGGAGTCTAAGGTGACATGATGATTGACTGTAATGTGACATCCTGGAAAGGATTCTGGAACAGAAAGAGGACATTAGGGAAAACTAAGGAATTCTGAATAAAATATGGATTTTAATTAATAATGTATCAATATTGGTCCATTGTGAGAAATGTACTATACTGTAAGCATAAATTTAAGACGTTCACAATAAGAGGTACTGGATACTGGATATACAGAAACCCTATGTACAATCTTTGCAACTTTTCCACAAATATAAAACTATTCTAAAATTCAGTGTATTTTTTAAAAGAGTAACTTAACAAATTCCACCTGAACTGTTAGCCAGGCAGTAACTAGGTATTATCCCCTTTACTATAAATGTAATTTGTGTTATCAGCCAACATGAGTTTCTAATGGCTTCTGCTTTTTCTCATCCTCTTTTTTTAATACATTATTTTACAGCAATTTAAAATTCATGTTAACTCACTCTCCTTCGAAAAATTATTGATCTGTAACTTTCCGTGTGAGCATTTGACTGTTTCACAATGTTCCAGGGGTGGGGGAAAGAATAGGAACCTAAATGTCCTAATACAAAGGAATTTAGCTCACACTCAAGAGAGCCTTTGAGTTTGACATATACTCCCATGCTTCTGGAGGTTCCGGCTGGGTGTGGGCTGTGCCTCCAGCACGCCCTGGAAGCAGGCAGGCTGTGACAGCGACAGAGAGCCTGCTGGCTCAGAGGTCCTGAAGAGCCTCCACACTGCTGAGTATTCTGATCTGCTCAGGACAGACCAAACTGGAACACTGCCCCCCTTCCCCACTGACCCCCAAGAAGCGTCTTAGCCTTGGAGCCAGTCTACCCAGGAGAGTCCCTAGGCTGGAAATATCCTAAAAAGTCTTTCCAGGGCTGCTTCCCAGGTTGGTATCAGTGTGGCCCTGTGGCCTCAGAGGACCCTGAAGAGGAAGCATGAGGCAGGGGCGGGGCCTGCAGCCTGGCAACCTCCGTTTGCTGTCACGCCTGGCTGTGGGGGCATCCTCAATATATCTGCACTTCCCTAAGAGGCCCTCTCAGGGGAAAAGAACAGGTGCTGGGTGCTTTCCGGAGTGTAAGGCTTACAAGGTTTGATAACTGCTTCTGACAGCAGCACCTGTTCCCCGCTCATTACGAGATCTTCTGGCTCGTGAGAATTTGAAAACATTTCTGCCCGAATATCTCCAGGATGCTCTCTCTTACTTTTTGAAGGTCGGTTACTCTACCTATCCAATGGTGATTATGAAAAATGTCTGTACATTGAACAGGTGACAAAACAGAGAAAAAGGAATGGCACTTGCAGTCTCTTGCTGACTCCTGCCCTATAAGAACCAGGCTGCTCCCTGGTTTCCTGTTTGTAAATGCTAATTTAATTTCACTCTCAAAAAGGTAAAAAACATTATCAGATAGGGTTTAAAGACATTTTGACTTTCGTTAAATATTATATTTAAATTAATTTGGTTATATTTATATATTAAATTTATATATACATTTATTATGAATATTTATTATATTTATTTAATTTTTTATATACACTTTCCAGGAGATATAGTAAGGTGTCAACAGTGGTGATCTCTGAGTGGTGGTCATTGTTTCTATTTAGCCATTTTTGCTTAGTTTATTTTCTACAATGCACTAATAATTAAAGGCTTATTTTTAATCTATGCTAATTTATACATTCAGTGTATTACATTTCTCTGCCTTCTACCTGTTCCCTGCCTGGCGGAAAAGTGGTTTTTTAAAGAATAGTCTATTTAATGAAATAGAAAAGTTGGAAAAATACATACTAAGAATGTTAATAAACTGAGTTTCTATCAATCAATAAAATGCTTCTCAAAGTTTTCCATGAAGTGTTGGCTTTCGAGATGGAAATTTCCCAACTATTTTCACTTGCTACTATAAAAATTGCATGAGTGGTCAGGCCTGAACACAGGTGAGAAAACGTGCTGATACCTGGATGACAAAAAGGATAATAAGACCCAGATGGTGAGCTGTTTTCTTTACACTGCACCTGGGCCATGGGGCCCGAAGTGCTCCAAAGGCGATGTCATAATTGATTGTTGGGAAAATAAGCTTCGTGTCACGGAAAGGTCAGATATAACATGCAAAACGATGTGAACTGAGAACTTGTTACTTGAACTGCCAATTACTTTGAACCTAAATTTTACACGTTATTTGTTCAACTGTTTGCATACCTGAGATCAGTAATGAAAGTTTAAATTCTGGAATCCCCGAAAACAGTCTTCAGAATGTCCCCTACCCCTGCTGCTCCTCCACTCCCACCATAACAGGACGCCAGGCAGGAGAGGAATAATTCCAAACCAAGGCCAGGACAGGTGCCTTCTGAAGCCCTCTTGGGTCAGCTGCTGGAGCAGTCCTGGGTTTTTTTCCCTCAAGTTGGCAATAATGCTTGTTTTAATCTAACTAATCAAGTAAAGATCAGGACCAAAATTCTTATTTCTTAAGTCTTAATTCTTCCCTCTGGGAAAATTCAAAGTGCCTGGCAGACCGCTCAGCGAGACTTTGCCACATTCTGGATAGCCTGAGAGTTAGGTGTGGCAGCAGAAACGAAACCTGGCCCAGCTCTCCAGGGACTTGCTAAATCTCAGGGTAATGGCCTATCCACCAAACCCTATCACTGCTTCTCGCATTTCTTTTCATGTAAACTTGTGTAGAACTTGTTTAAACACTGCAAACATTAAAAACAAGCTTAAACACAGATTTTTAGAAGTTTTTATAACTTTTTTCAACATTTTTTCAAAACAACAGTCAAAGCAAAATTTTCTCATCTATATGTTATCCAGGTATTTGCATACGGAAAAGAAAGAACCCTTTGGGACATGATTTGTGATTTCACATGGCATTTATCTTCTGTACTGAGATGTTTTGTTTTGTTTTAGTTTCTTGGCAAGATTTGGGAGGTCTGCTTTTTCTGTTGAATCACTCAGTCCACAAACACTTATTAAACACCCATGATCTGCAAAGCAGTGCAGGCACTGCACGCTCTAAGAAACAAATTATAAGGCCTGGTACTTACTATCAAAGAGTTTATAATCTAGTTTATATCAAATAAATCTAGTTATATCCAATCTAGTTATATCAAAAGTAAACATGAAAATTTTAATAGCAATAGCAAGAGATAAAAATAGGTTGTAAATTCAGTTTTGTGGTTGAAAATGATGAAGTTAGAATACTACAGTTATGCCCCACATCACGACGTTTCAGTCAACAACAAACCGC